TATAGTAAAGTAATTAACTCTTAATTGCAGAAGATTATTCCGAAGTTTGTGTGAAGTAAACATGTACGTTACATGTATTACAGTTTTTTGGGTTTTTTTTTTTTTGTATTACAGGAAAGTTGTTTCAAGTATTTGTTTCTATCAGTCTATTACCCTATTCTAAACCATGGGAGTTTGAAAAGAAACAAAATGATTTGCAAAAAATAGAAACCGGTTTCAAGCATTTAGATTTTTTTTTAGAAATAACCTGTTTTTATAATGTTTCTATAATACATGTACCCAAAAAGAGAAATATTTAGCCAAAACAATTGGATTACTTTTTTTGTTTTGTATGCCAAAGAAAATTGTAGTATATACATGACAAGCTTTTTAAGGAAGCTAATGTTTTTTTATGTTTTTTCTTCTTTTTTATAGTTCGATTCATTTATTCATACTGGTGTTAGCATTCAAATATAACAAAAAATTTACCCGTAGTCAAATCATTAATCTCCGAGATACACGATGCATTCTTTAATAGATACAATGTTCACAAAACATTTTGAGCAATTAGGCTAACATAAACCTCAAATAAAAGACTGTTGATTGATCAAACATTAATTTGTCCATAAATGCTACATGTACAAACCATGCATTCATTTCGTAGTTGACTCCATATTTCTTCGAAAAAACACAAAAAAGCAATAGTTGATAAACCCCATACACAAACAGGTTTCTTCCACGCTAAGACAGGCAAGCATTGTATATTGCAAAAGCTTAAGTACGTCTTATTTGTATTTTCAAAGAAATCGCACGGACAAAACAAAGAAGACTAAAATCAAGATCTTGACGAACTAGAAGAAAACAAAAGTCCAACAAAACCTATCCGAAAAATTAAAGCACCGATAGTTAAATAATGTTGTTCAATTTAGTTCACAAGCACCTAAAAATAGTTAGGCTGTTGATCAAACATGCAGCCTATATCCATAAAGCTATCACTCCTTACTGCGCACACATAGTGCTAACCTGGGCTTTGGACAAAACGAAAGTTACAGAACAAAACAGCTAATGTATCATGTCAACCATTAAGTTTTATTCTATAAACTAAAAGAAACATATATCACTTAGTGGCTCTTAAAATGTGAAAGTGGGCTTATGTTTATTTGGACAAAACAAGTTATGGTCTAATGTCGCACGAACAAAATCAAGTTTATGTAACTGATGGTTCCAGATGTATAGGAGGAAACGTTTACCTATGTTAGCAATTTCTTGCCATTAAGGTGGGTCTCTTAATAAAATAAATAAAAATTACATGCACAACTAGGCGCGCGTTGATCTCTTTTATCATACAAAACATGACTTTAATCAAATCAAATCCGTTTAATTTATTTTAAGTCGACAAGTAAAATAACAATGCAACATAAGCCTATAGTGAGCTTTTGAACTGACATACATGAATAAATTATAGACAGTGCGTGCAAACACAAAAAGACAACACAAGACAGTGTACAATAGTGTACATATACACAGTTATCACATAAAGAGGACTAGTCAAGCATAAATAAAGCATATATTATTAAGTTAAGCAAGCACATAATAGTTCAAACAATAACACTACAAAATAACAAACAAAGAAAATAAAGTTTTCTTGTATACGCTGCTGCAGCATAATGTAAGAATTGAATGCTTCTTTTTATAATTTTTTGGGTTGTAAAAGCGTTGACCGAAGCACTTTTTTTTATTCCGCTTTCATATTAAAATGTGCGCACGATCAACGCTTTTACAACCATATAGAATTATAAAAAGAAGCATTCAATTCTTATAATCAAGTTTTGATGCTACAACCATGAAATTAAGAGTTATATCAAGCTGTTCGTTTGCTTTCAATGGAATATTTTAACATTGTCACGGATAGTTCGTGCAGTCATTGCTGTTGTATTTTATACGGAAATAAAATATGGTATTGGTGTGCCTGACAATTGATGTCAGCCAATCAAAAATACGGATTCTAAAGAAACATACATGTTATGTACTTAGCACATACTTACAACTTCTCGTCCAATCAAATTTCTTGAATTTGCCTTCTAATTTTCATAGTACATACTTTTTCCGTGTACTAAGTAACTACGCATGAATGACCACAAGGGTAAGATTTCATTGTATCCTAATCAAGATATTTAAAACAAAAATTGCCACTAGCTATTTTGAAATAAATTGCTGTGTTCCAAATTAAATTAAATAGTTTGTTATTAGTTTCCACATTGATTTGTAAATATCCTGCTATTAAAATCTTTGGATCTTAAAATATTTTTGACAATTGCAAGTTTCTTTCTTTTAAATAAAGAGTAACACATATGGTTCTTTATACCTTGATTAAAGTACAACGCTATCTTAAAATTGTGATAATTTATCATCCATGCAATTACTTTGTACACAAAAAAGTGTGTACTAGGAAACCTAGTGAAGGGAAATTAAGGCAACTTGGTGATGATTTTTTAAACTTTCTTAAGGAAGTTGATCTATTTCGTCAGATTGATTATTGGTTGCTTAATGTCCAGTGGCAAACATTTTGCCATATAAAAACCATGTCTGAATAGAATGTGCCACCTATATATATATACATATTCTGATAAATCTTTTATGTTTTACTTTGAAAAAAAACCCAAAAAACACGAAACCCATAATCTTTTAACTTAGTTGGAAATTGCTTTTTGATGCCTATCCGCTAGACTATCTATGGGGACAAACTATCTATATGATTCAGATTTTTTATAGCTTTAGTTTTACTGTGAAATTGAAAAAAATGTTTTTAAAACATGCAAAGCTTCCACTGCAATTTAATTATTGCCTGCTTTTGGTCAATTTATTTTATCATCTTTGGTCAATTTATTTTATCATCTAACTATGTAAAGAAGTACATGTATAGTAAAACGCCGGTTTATATCAATATACATACTTACACCAGTAGCTACCATCTTTTCATTCTGGAGTCAAGGGCCTTTTGAAATCACATATTTTACAATGATTATAATTATGATACTAGTTAGTAGATTTACAAAACATAAAACTTCGTTAGTGAGCTCCGGTTTACAAACACCTGTGATACAAGTAGTCAGCCAAAATAAACTATCAATAGACCAATTAAAAGATTACTCGATTTGTAAATATGTGCTAAATTGGATAGTCTATAAAAAGGTTTAATATAGCAAAGTGCTCTCGACCAATGAAATTGTGGGATTTGATGCCTCTTAATTGTGAAGAATGAATGTAAATCATGTTCTTAGTAAGGGATTAGCACATACTTACAACTTCTCGTCCAATCAAATTGCTTATATTTGCCTTCTAATTTTCATAGTACATACTTTTCCTGTGTACTAAGTAACTACGCATGAATGATCACAAGGGTAAGATTTCATTGTATCGTAATCAAGATATTTAAAACAAAAATTGCCACTGGCTATTTTGAAATAAAATGCTGTGTTCCAAATTAAAGACATTAAATTAAATAGTTTGTAATTAGTTTTCACATTGATTTTTAAATATCCTGTTATTAAAATCTTTGGATCTAAAAAATGTTTTTGACAATTGCAAATTTTATCATTAAAATAAAGGGTAATACATATGGTTCTTTATACCTTGATTAGAGTACAACGATATCTTAAAATTATGATAATGTATCATCCATGCAATTACTTTGTACACAGAAAAGTGTGTACTATGAAAACTTGTGAAGGAAAATTAAAGCAACTTGGTAATAATTTTTTAAACTTTCTTAAGGAAAGTGATCTATTTCGTCATGAATTGATTGATTTATTGATTATTGGTTGCTTAATGTCCAGTGGCAAATATTTCCTGCATGTTCAGGACGATGTCATGAATTGAAAAACTGTGATTATGTCTGAAGATAATGTGCCACCTATATATATATATATATATATAAACATATTCTGATAAATCTTTTAGTTTTTACTTTGAACTAATAAAAAAAAACACACAAAACCTATAATCTCTGATCTATTTGACGTTACTTTTTAATGCCTATCTGCTAGACTATATCTTTGGGGACAAACTATCTATATGTTTCAAATTTATTATAGCTTTAGTTTTACTGTGAAATTAAAAAATGATTTCAAAACATGTAAAGCTTCCACTGCAATTTCATTATTACCTGCTTTTGGTCAATTCATTTTGTCATCTTACCTAAGAAGAACATGTATAGTAAAACACCGCTTTATATCAGTATACATACTTACACCAGCAGCTACCATCTTTTCATTCTGGAGTGAAGGGCCTTTTGAAATCACATATTTTACAATGATACTGGTGAGTAGATTTACAAAATTCGTTAATGAGCTCCGTTTTACAAACACCTGTGATACAAGTAGTCAGCCAAAATAAACTATCAATAGACCAATTAAAAGATTACTCGAGTTGTAAATATGTGCTAAATTGGATAGTCTATGGAAAGGTATATACTATGAAATTAAGAGCTTGGGGCAAGCCCCTCGCTCTAAATTTCATAGTATATACCTTTCAATAGACTAACCTAGACTTATGTACAGTTGAATGTGTGGGCAATATCTGCAGGCGATACGGAAACCTGTTTTACCACTCCTGCACGAGATCATGGACTTAAATTGATTACAATTTGAGTACCCTCTGTATTCTTTTGAAAGGGAGTTCAAAAGAACTGGTGAAGCATATATCGTATATAATAAAATAAAAGACTATTTTACATTTTCCTAGATAATGAAGATTTCTAATAAATATGTATAAAAAAAATCCCCAACCCTCATTGAACCCCTCAAAGTATACAAAGAATTTGTGATCGGTCGTTTAACTACAACGCACCATCGTATATAAACCGAATTGTCTTTACTGGTGCTGCTTCAAAGAAATCGGTCGAACAAGTTAACAGCTAGAAGGGTTAAAAATAGAAAATATTAAATTTTGTCAATAATAATAAGAACTGAGCAAAACAATAAGTGTACGGGAAGTAATTTTAAAATCCTTGATTTACTTACCTTCGTGTAAACATGGTAAATGTCGAGGAATAAAACGATTATAAGCACGCACGTATCCAGTTATTTTACAAAATTAAAACAAAAAACAAAAACAAAAAACAAAACAAAATTCTCAAAATTTCATTATAAATTTTATATATTATTGTTTTGTCCAAATAAACAGTATTCACATGCGTGCTAACAATTTACGGACATAACTGCATCAAATAATGTCAATTTAATTTTCCGGTAAAACGTGGGTATTTACATCCGCGTTCGGTTGTTTGATGGATAGTATTTAAGAATTGAATGCTTCTTTTTGTAACTTCATTGGGGTGTTAAAGAATTGACCGAAGTACAATTTTGTATTTTCATTCTAAAAATGTGCGCACGGTCAACGCTTTTACAACCCTATGCAGTTACAAAAAGAAGCATTCAATACTTATAATTACATTTTTTAGCTAGGATCATGAAAACACGATTTTTATCAAGATTTTATTTAATTTACCTGTGCACTTTATTGTGGGACCTCGTGTCATCATGAATGATAAATTTTATTGTGTAATGAAGTTGATTAAGGAATAACGCGAGATTGCAGTGTAGCCAATCAGGTTATGAAAGTATAAAAATTTGCGTAAATATGATTTTCATGCAGTTAATAATGAAATTTTTAGAATTTTTTTGCTTTTTGTTTTTGTTTTTTGTTTTAATTTTGTAATAAATGCATACATGCGTGCTAACCACATATTATAAAAAAATCTTACTACACGAAGCATCAGAATTGAAGTCCTCATCCAACGCAATTTGGCTGCAAATTCAAACATCCCGCACAGTCAGTTTAAAGGATTTACTGTCGGAACAGGAGAAGTCCAGGGATGACCATATTTCTTTACGAACTCTTAGGGGGGGATGGGGGGTCATTAGTGTCGGATTGATGTTAAAAGCTCAAAGTACACATATGAAGCTGGATAACCATGGCGGATTATCCCGGTAAAGATTTAACTTTTAAGACATGGCCCTCGTGTGAAATAATTTCAGGTGAAATCTCCCCAAGCTCTTTATCAGTTCAGCATTAATTTTGTTGTGCAGTTATAATTCTTCTCATTCTGTTCGAACTTGCAGGTTTTCTGTTACATTTAACACGTGCTTTTTGGTAGCTTTCCTTTCAAACACTATTTATATTATTGGTATGTTTTCGGACAAGTCTATCGGAATTCAAATCATGAATTTTAAAGATTTATTATTATCCTCAACAAGCGTAAGCTGATCTGCATGTCACATGTGCTTTATAAGGGGGAAGACCGCATTTGATATTCAAAGAGACCTGACAAAAATAAACCTTGCGAAAACAGAATGGAAATGAATATTTTGCCGGAAAATTTGTACACAAAAGTGAAAATGTGAGCAATATTCGAGAAAGGTGAAAATTAATTTTCCGTTAGAAAAAATCCTCCTCAAATAGTTTATGTAAACACATTACTACAAATATTGCCACTTCCAATTATCGCTTTTAAATCATTTGACAAACAACAATGGTTCTATAGTGACTATTTGAAGACGACGGTTTATATTTAAGCTTTGAGACGACCCGAGAATTGCAGGCTACCTGAAACTAATCGTTAGTGTATGATTTCCGCAAATGTTTAATAGCCTTTGGTGTACGAATATGCGTCATATTCACTTGTATTTCCGCATGTAAAAAATTATAAAAAATGAAAGTATTTTTGATCAGTTGAAAATTTAAAAAAAGATACAATTTTATCCATGGCCAAGAAAATATTACTGTTCAATTATATACATGACCATTTTATCAGTCAATATATCAAAAGGATTTTTGTTTCCAGTTATATTTATAGCCCAGTTTAAATTTTCGGTCAAAGGCAGGTAAAACCAGATTGAGGAAATAATACTAAATTATTTTACGATGTTTCAATACATGTGTTACATTAAAATAGTATTTTTTTGCAATTTATAATTCTACTATTGCCAAAGACAAAACTTAAATATACTGTAAGTTTAGAAATTATTGCGTGTATTTATTATTGCAACTTTTTTTTGAGAATGGACAAAAATGCGAGATGAATTATTGTGATTATCAAGAAAAGTTGCATATAGATATATGTATCAGATATTTGAATGAGAGTTCTTAGTATTGCGATGCTCACCCAAACGCATTATTCGCATTGATAAAAACCTCGTAATAATTTCTGAATTTACAGTTACACCCGTATAACTTCTTATTATAAATGTAATATGATTTCTGATAAGTGTTTGGTAATAAATGTTCTCTTTAAATTTTTACTGTGACTGGCACGTGTGTAAACACTAGAATGTGAGATGCTTTATCATATCATATTTTGGAATAAAATGACCGTGAATTCAACTACTGTAACAGATATCTTACATTTACTTTATAATTCCACCTTATGTAATAATGCTGTATTTTGATTGGACGAGAGAAATGGTATTTTTCACAAATTTTCTATATATTGAGACTTTCTTTTCTCTGCCGGTGTATTTGTCATTAGTACAGCTCATCGGCTTGGGACATGAACATATAGAATGTGGCGGGATTAAACATGTTTGCGGGCACCCAATCCTCCCATAACGTTTATTTCATTGTATATTTATTTTAAGTTTTTTTAAATCCATCTAATACCTAAATTGTAAAGTTTTATTTCTTATTATAAATAAAGCAAGAACAGGCTGTTTCATATATCACCTTATCTTGGTATATAAGTCAGGTGGTATATTTTTGTATTCTTCAACTTTCCAAAATAAAATTGTATTTGGCATCAATAAAGCAAAGCACATTAACAATTTTATTTTTTCAATGACAATGAAACAAAACAAAAATATAACATGGTTTTGATTTCAAATAACAAATACTCAGAACTGAGAGGGAAATTGAATCCATTTGTCGTTTTTTCGTTTTCGTTTTATAACATAAAAAAACAAAAAAAAAACGCAACACTTTGATTTCTCAAAACGATGAGAAAGGGTAAACAGTCCAAATTAAAACAAAAAACAAGATATACAAATCAGTAAACATGACTTGATTGAAGGAGTTATTGCACTCATTGACTATGTTTACGGGAATCGTGTTTTTTCCATTTGGCTATTATCTCGAAAACTTTTACAGATGGAGCAAAACTGTGGAAAGCAAATCTTATCAGCAAGATAAGATAAACAAAAAGGTAAAAATGAAATTGTAAATCGAATTCTTACAGGACGTTCTGCAACTATATGATATTTTTTTTAGCAATTAGCTTTTTATTTTGCATTTGTTACCAAAACAATGATATAAAGAAGGACGTTTTATAAAAAGAAATCAGCATCTGATATACAAAGACAGGTTAGTGATAGAAGTCGTCAATCGATTTCTTTAATTATTATTGTCCTTAGATAACTCAACATACAAAAAGGTTTTGATAAATGAATTGATCGACAGATTGGTGTTTACGTAACGGCCAGTGGAAATTATTTCATGCATATTAAGGACGAATCTCCGATTGAAACTTGATCAAACCTGGTCATAATCTGAGATATGGAAAAATATGGACGCCACTGTGCTATTGATTTTAATGCAGCATAGTTGTTGCCATGTGACTGATACCGGCTCTTTGTAACCTCTAGTTGTCGTCTAACGTTTAATCAACGAGGAAACATGCCAAGTTGTCAGAATTCCAGTGCTGACACAAATATAATGTTCTGTTAATTTAGGTTCATTAAATATAAAAATCATCTAAAACATAATGTCTTTCATTATCTTAGCTACATTGGCACATTTTTGTTAACTTGTGATACTCAGACATGTTAACCATTGTAACTGATTTAGCGCAACTGACAAGACTTCAGATGACGACATGTGCGACTGGTTTAATAAAATATAAGCCTTGGTTTCTTGATTATTTAAATCAACCCCGGTCAATACAATGTATTGATTCTTTTCTAGGGTATTCAGCCCTGTATAGTAGTAATTTTTCAGTCATGGATTTCCAAAACATCCGAAACTCCATGATTTTTGTGCTTTAAATGAATTGCTGTGTTTACTTGGACTATTCTTCCTGCAGTAATTTTTCTGAAATTTTGATATTCAATTAATTTCATTTAACATTATTAGTGTTCGAAACAGTCTTGTTTCTAAACCATTCATAATTGATTGAATAGATATGCATGTGTTTTGTAGACATTTTTTCCTTTCTTATGATTTCAATTTAAAGTCGGTAGTTTATCTATAAACAATGATAAACATAATTCGTCTCACTAATATTTCATCTTGTATACCAAATTTGAAACCATTTGCAAAATTGTAAGCCTGTTATCTATGATGAGTTTATTAAAACATTTACATGCCAATGCATTTACTTCATCTTTTTAAACTTTTATTCAATTAAGAAGACATAATATTCTTTAATCATCACGAAATCGTCCACCAACTAATCAAAAGGGGAAGAACAAAATCATGGACGGCAGTTGAGGAACGTCCATTCCTAATATATCTTAAATAATCGTGGAATACTTGGTTGTTCGTACATTCTTCTATTTGAAAATTTGAGTGCAATATCCTACACATACTGTTGCTATTCTCAGGGGAATCAAGCGGCAAGTATCAATAAATCATTTAAAACATGGTTTGAAAAAATCGTTTGGCTGAAAAGTACTCTTCAAAAGAGCGAAAAAGAAGGACAAGCGCTGCAGGACCACTTAAATGAAAAAAGGTAAAATAAAAATAAATAAAATGATATTTTTATAATGCTATATACATGTTCCTTGTTATGTATAATATCACATTATTACATACCATTTTCTATATCAGATGTTTTATCATGTAATTAGCCTTCTATTGTACAAATAACAGGTGTACAAATAAATTTTTGCTTTATTTGTATAGTATGCAAATTATACATTAGGAACTATTTTTTTCCCCACCTTGACCTTACGTGATCCTTGACAACTATGTAAACAAACGCCGTTATCGTTGACTGGCACGGCACATATTTTATAATGCAAAACGTACAGAATCAGGAACCAGCCTAATAATGTCGTCAACAATAAATATTAAAACAAAACAAACATGTTTTTATAATTGTAGTATTTATCCCATTAAGAAAAAAAAATGTGGTTAAACAGATGCAGTTTGTAACAAAAACGAGGTCTTATTGCTTGCAGCAAAAATATTTCGTCTGCAATCATATTTGCCTGCTAA